ATTCTTTCTTCGGAATCTTCCTCAATTTAGTACGCACATAGCCAAAAAAAGAAGAAAAAAAAAAAAAGGAGGAGAAGCCTGGCGTCCGTCAATCTCTCTTCTCCGGTGGACTTGTTTCTCCTACAGAATCTACACCGTCGGTGGCACGAATCTCACCTGAGATCCACAGCTGAGATCCCGCTGGAGCATCCATTAGTTATTTTTGAATTTCGAACGACCCAATTATCGCCTACCGTAATTATCTTACTTAATTATCTTACTATGTGTAGACGTCGTATGAATCTTCCTTTTGGATTTCGTTTTTAATTTGAAGTATCTTTATATGCAGAGGAGATCGGAAGGTGAAAATTCCGGTGGAATTAATAGCGAGCGAGGGAGGGAGTTGAACACCAGTTCAAGAGATCTTTCTGTGAAAACAAAAGGCTTCGAATTTGATCGCCGATGGGTTTGTGGGAAGCTTTTCTCAATTGGCTTCGCAGGTTAGCTCCTCTTTTTCATATGTTTCTGTTCATATTTGATACTGACTGCAATTGCCGGCGTTTCCTTTCTGCAAGAATTTTCTGGGGGTAATTTGTTTTGGGTTCTGGAATGTAATTCCTGGGGGGAGGTTGAGGTATGGAAATTTGGGTTCAAATTCAAACAATGATTGGTTTTTTGGAGAGTGGTTTTTTGAGGAGGGATTTGACGTCAAAGTTGCTTTTCATCACTTTTCTTCTTGGAGGATAAAGTGAATTGTATTATTGGGTGAAGAAAATTTCCTCCGTTTTGGATTGAATACCTCAAGGAACATGGATTTGTGACTTTGTGTGATAACGCTTATATATCATACTGGATATTGTTGTTATTTGTCTGGGAGAGAATGGTGCTGCTTCTTTATTCGTGTCCTGAATGTTTTGTAGAATGACACCTCTGTCGATAAGGACAAGTTTCAGTTAAACAAAAAAAAAATGTTAGTTCATTGTGGGAACAGAAAAATTTGTTGTCATTAATAACAGTTTCGATTTACATAAGTGGTCTAATGAATCAAATATTTAATGGTACAATTTTTTTATAATTGGATCATTTACTGATGTGTTGAAAAATTAGTAGTTTTGCCTGGCAGCTTTTTTTATGCTGTATAGGCTTCTTTGAGGTATCTTTAGGTAGTATAAATGAAGTTAAAATTTATAGTTCAACAGTACTGGTGCCTTTTGAGTTATGCCTTGTTTACATATGATGTAGCTTTCACCTAAGTGGTCAAACTTAATTAGTGCTGTGATTTGCTAGAGTTTTGTACCGTATGATCTATGATCTCTTTTTGCTGGACATTTGTTGTAGAAGTTTAACTTTTACTTGTAAAAGATGTTGTGATTTCTATTGAAGAGTTGAAGGGGCATGGTGCTTAGTGGCCTAGTGGGGGTTGACCTTTATGGATCAGCCTTGATATTAAGTTGTCTCACTTTGTTCTATTATATTTCAGCCTCTTCTTTAAGCAGGAAATGGAGCTTTCCTTAATTGGACTTCAGAATGCTGGAAAGACCTCACTTGTAAATGTTGTTGCAGTAAGTATATTATGGATGTTCCATTATTAGCAAAGTTTTTCTTTCTGTCAATTTCTTTTGGTTGATATGCTTGAAATGGGTTTCTTGGTGTTGTTTTCAGACTGGTGGATATAGTGAAGACATGATCCCTACGGTGAGTTATATCTTCTGTGTGATTTGTTCTTGCCATTAGCTTTTGGCAGTTGCAAATAGAGAATATATCACATTTTTATCCTGTTGTAAACATTTTATGCATTTGGCATAAAACTAAGTGAATAAATGTCTTATTTTAGGTTGGATTCAACATGAAGAAAGTGACAAAAGGAAATGTTACCATAAAGTTATGGGATCTTGGAGGTCAACCTAGGTTTCGCAGTATGTGGGAGCGGTACTGCCGGGCTGTTTCTGCTATTGTGTAAGGAACTGATACTCTCTTTTATTCAGGTTAACTTTTTACTGATTGCTCTGCAATTGATTGTGCGTTTTTATTTTTGCCAACTGTTTTCCTCTGGACACTTTTAGTTCGAGTGCTATGTGCATTCTTCATTTCATGACTTTGTTATGGTTTTGTAGAGAAGCTAAATGTTAAATTCAGTAATATACTTTATGTAATCAAGTTTACCCAGAGTAAAACTCTTATCTTTCCTGCAGTTATGTGGTTGATGCAGCTGATCCAGACAACCTTAGCATCTCAAGAAATGAGCTTCATGATTTGCTTAGTAAGCCCTCACTTAATGGTATCCCTCTGCTGGTGTTAGGGAATAAGATTGACAAGCCAGGAGCTCTGTCAAAACAGGCATTGACTGAAGAAATGTAAGTACAATAAACCAATTCTTCTGAATTTACACTTTTGAGTTCCACCATAGAAAAAAAACAATTCTTCTGAAGGTTGCTTTGTTTAAAGATTCTCAAAATATACTAGTATACTATTGAAAATGGGATACTATTGTGCAGGGGACTCAACTCAATTACAGATCGAGAAGTTTGCTGCTTCATGATCTCTTGCAGGAATTCAACAAACATTGACTCGGTTATTGACTGGCTTGTGAAGCATTCCAAATCAAAAAGCTAAAGAGGCTCTTTGTTCTCAATGATGAATTCTTAATTCTTAATTTATGAGGGATATAGTTCATGTTGTTCGAGAATTTCGCTCTTCCTCCCTTATTTGCTCACTAGAGGCTGTCTGATATTGTCTTCTTGCGTAGTGTACATTATATAATTACTTCATTTTCAATTGAGGAAGTGTGAGGCTTTGGTTTGGTATTTCATTGTCTCTGTATGTTTGTTCTCTCTCGGGAGAATAAATTTTTGAAAAGATATTGATACTATTGATATGTGTATAAATTAGGTTTGTGTTTTGTTTAATAGCTTGTTTCCGTAATTTAGGCATTGAGAGCCTATTATAGAACAGAAAGAAATCAACAGGGACTAAATTGAATTATTGGGGGAAGTACTGGACTGATTTGTTTGTTTCTCGAGAAATTTTATTTTGTCTGGTGATGCACTACGGATAACGGGAAATAACAGAACTCTGCGCTTTCCCCACTCCAGAACAACACTTCCCCTGAAGCAATGGAAGCTTTCAACCGCCCACTCTGCTCATCTACAACGCCGAGTGTCAACTATCTCCATTTGAACTACGTGTTGAGAAGATCAAAAGCAACTTGAATTTAAGGAAAAAAGGAGGAGAAAAATATGATCATCTCTTCCTTCTTCATCTCAATTTTTCAATGTCCACTTTGAATTTGGATTCCCTTTAAACATTTCTACAATTTAAAATTAAGAGTAGATTAAAAAGATAGATTTATTTGCATTGGTTTTTGTTAATGTAAAATGAAAATTTTATAAGATACAAATATCTACAGGTGGATAAGATTAAGAAACTTACTTATAAAAAATCTTAGGAGGTTACATTTACCGGCCAGATAATTTTCTTTTGTTAAAGATAAAGTTAAAAAAAAAAAGAAAAAAGAAAAAAAAAGGAACTAGTTACCAATGCAATCTTCATCATTGTAGGGACCTCATTGCAACAAGAAAGAGGATAGGATCTACTTGAATCCTTTTTAAAAATTTAGGACTATCCATGCAATCCACCCCTGCCACTTCTTAAACCCTGGTTGCGCTTGTATTTTTCTTCAACAAAAACGGCAGAGTCCTGCTTCTCTGATCTCCCAATCAAATGAACACCCATTAGTAGAATAGCAAGTCTGCTGCTTCTCCCCGAAAATGCGCTCCTTAGCTATGAAAGTGCCCAGCAAATCTCTTCTCAAGCTCCTGATCTCCGCCCCCAGAACCCCAATTGCTTCCTCTCGCGCTCTCTGCACAGCCACTGAGACTCGAACTCAAAAGCTTGAACGCATCGCCGATGAGCTCCTGGACCTCACCAAGCTCGAGCGCTACGATTACTCTATCCTTTTCCGGCTTAAACTTGGCCTCAATCGCTACGGGCCTGCCGTCTCCGGTCCCGCCTCAGCCGCTCCGTCCTCCCAGGGATCTGGAGCTGGGGCGGCGGAAGCAAAGGCTGCGGAGAAGACTGCTTTTGATATAAAGCTGGAGAAATTTGATGCGGCGGCGAAGATAAAGATAATAAAGGAAGTTAGGACTTTTACCGATTTGGGGTTGAAGGAGGCTAAAGATTTGGTGGAAAAAGTGCCAGTCGTGATCAAGAAGGGGGTGACCAAGGAGGAGGCTGATGGGATTGTCGCGAAGCTTAAAGAGTTGGGTGCTACTGTGGTACTCGAATGATTTTGATTTCTTTTAATTTTACTTTTCCTGTTCCTGTAATGTAGAGTAGAATAATTGTTGTTCTAGAGCAATGGTGAAATGGGGAAAATTTTTTGAATTGAGTTTCTTTTGGTATTCACATTTTTGTTCTTACTGTATTTGTAGTAACTGGAAATGGGTGTGCTTTGTTGGAGGCATGTTTCTTTGATTGGAAGCTCATAATGCATTTGTTTATTTGTTGCTAGAATTGAATTTGGTTTTGATAGGAGATTGTGAGGTCTGGTGTTGTTTTATATATTTTGCAGAATGTTAAGCAGGAACTGAGGGTGAGAGGACTGGTCTTTGATGTTGAATTGTTGATATGCATCATGGATTCACTTCTGCAAGTTCTTTTCTGTGTTAGGACTGTGTTTGTGGCACTGTTGAGATTGATAACTAGATTTCTTTAACTGAGCTTTTAGCCTGCTGAAAGAAAAATCGTTTGGCTTTCTTGACACTTAGAAGCATTCATTTCATTCGTGTTCTTAAGAAGATGAACTAAAAACGCTGTCCAAAGAAATTGTAATTTTTGACAATGTCAGTCCTGTTGTTAGTGAAGTCAGGAGCTTTGTGTGCTTGATGGTGCTAATGTTGTGGGACTTGGGTAGGTTTGCTGCTTTTTGGAGTTTAGATATTGCTTAGAATCAATTAGATCTTGCCTACTGGACTCTTTGGAAGAAGTATGAATTCACATCGCCTGATTGGGAATAGCCAATTTCCATACTCAATTTGATGGTGGTGAGAGAATATTTTTTGCCAACCTACTTGCTTTTGATGAGTAGCAGCCAGATTATCTGGCAGTCTGGTTTCAAGCAATGCCCTTTAGGCTATCTTCTGCATTCTATATGTTAAAATCCTTCGAGGTAGACATGAATCTGGAGGTAATGCTGCTTTACCCATGGCTATGGTCTCAAAAATTACATGTCTTACTGCAGCTAGATTAGGTGTTGGAATGACTCAAATGCTGCGACATTTATTAACGGCATCATAGCATCTCCCATAGTTGTCACAGATTTGGGCTTCAATCTCTTATAGCTAGAAAGTTTTGTCTTTCAAGTTGAAGCATTTAGTATACCGTGAATCATTCATTAGAATATGCATCTGTATGGGAAGAGAACACCAATATATATGGAAAGGACTACCCTCATGGTAGGAATTATGATATTTCATAGTTCTAGGATGATACAAATTTAAGCTGTGATAGCAAATTACAGCTTTGTAAATCTGGCAGGCAGCATCAAAGGAGACTTAATTGTTGTCGGTTATGACTTTCAAGTTCCAGTTACAAATCCAGTTTTTTCCAGTAGTTCGCTTGAGAATGGAACTTTAAGCTGTGAGAGCAATCCATTGTAGTTCTGCAATATGGAATTACAGTCTGATGTGGATGGGATGATGATGCTGGATTTTTGCTCGAAGGCCTGTTCTTAGTACGTAGGAGAACCCATATGTCATGGCCAAAGATTTTGATTCTGTGATCTGTAATTTGTCTAACCTACCTCCGGATTAAAATCAAATGGTAGCAATTTTGAACTACTACTATCCATTCTCACGGAAGATGGGGTTCCATTTTCTTTGCCTTGAGACAAGTATTCTGGATCCTCTTTTTATCCTTCTGCTTATCTATCTATCGTCCTTTAGCAGAAGAAGAAGCATTGTGACTAATGGACTAAAATTGAGTTTTCAGTAATAATGATCTGAGCTTATTAACAATGCATGCTTGCACCAAAACTGTAGTTTAATTGCATTTGGATCAACTATCAAAGAGATAGATCATATATATGTATCATAAATTTTCTATTTCTATTTCTCTGGCTAGTTTATAATCTTTAAATCATAAGATCATAAAAAACCTCAAAACTCTCACCATGTTTGCTCAGAGAGGAAATGCATACACCTTAATGAACTAGTTCCATGCTTTACATGCCGTGATATATATTTACAGTTATAGACATACTGCCAGTAGATGTCCAGGCTTGCATGATCTCAGTGCTGATGCATGGTTCAAGCAACAATCAAGCTCAGACTTGGTATCCAGCTTATGCCATCTGCAAAATATTTCAAGTGCTATCAGGAAAATTAATAGTTTAAGAAATCTTGCAATAAATAAGAACCCAAAAAATAAAAAATAAAAAGAAAAATAAATCAGTTTATCAACGTAGTGGAATGCTAAAGGACAAATTATGACCAGAAGATCCCTGCTCTAAGCTAAAGACTCTAAACCTTACATGCAACCCACTAAGACCAGCTTGTGTGATAGAACCCGTGCAGAACTATAAATAATTTACATCTGAATATATCTTTAAAAACAGTTGGTAAGGAGGATTTACCAGCATCCTGGATTTCAATGCTTTCTCAGCTGCTTCGGCAAAAATCTGCGCTGCTTCTGCTTCAGCTTCTGCTGTCTCTGCCTCCCTGGCTGCTGCTTCAGCCTCTGCAATTGCAACTTCTGCTTCTGCAACTGCTCGTGCAGCTGCTGCAGCAGCCTCTTCTGCAGTCATGATCCTCATCTTTGACAGCTCTGCATCAACTTGGGCTTTAGTGAGAATTTTGATCTCCTTCTTCTCTGCCCTTGGAGAACCCTTCTGCTTTCCTTCCAAAAGTAGTGGGAGGGACCTTCTTCCTTCAGAAATTGTTAAACCATGTGCAACCCTGTACTTATGCTTTATCTATCACCATAAACAATTAAAAATCATAAACATCATCCAGTCCTGGTTTATATGTTGATAAATTTTCAATTCTGATAATGAATATGCAAAGGCACATCCCATAATTTTTATTTTTTTTAGAAGAAAGGAAACCCATGTTATGAAATCCATCAGGAGTCTATCATTTATACATATGGGTTTAAGTCCCCTCTGGCTATACATCTTTAATCTAATATCAATAACATAGATGTGTAGTACTCATACAACCCTAAACCATTTTCACAACCCCTTTCATGATTCCTCAAGCACAAATTCATTAACTAAGCATATTTGTAATGCAAGGCATTAAAAGACCTTTCCTATTAGAGGAGCACAGTATATATTGTATGTAATATAATATAACTTTCTCAGTTAGATTCGCAAGCTAAACAGTTTCTACACATCTAAATACAGTATTCTTGGTTCCATTTAACCAATAATTTGCAGTATGCTCACCTTGGTCAGTGTGCCATTTTCAATCATAAGCTTTAGTTTTGCTCCCAAAAGCTTCTTGAGGGTTGATGGAGCCCGATATTGGTCCTATAAATGAAAATTGAAAGTAAGTGCATTCCACGATGCCAGAAAGCTGCAATTTCTGATACTATTAAACTATTTCTATGATTCTCAGGTGCACTATATCAGTCCTGACCAGAATGTTTTTTTCTTTTGGTTGGTCAGTGTTGTGAACAGATTGGTTGTTAGGTCTTTCTGCAAAAATTTAGAGTTCATGGCTGACATGAGAACAAATATATACATATACCTCTATGTATGAAGCAATTGAGGCTCTGTCAGAACCACCTGGCTCTTTCAAATTCATAATAGCCTCTAATATAAGATTCTCCAGCCTACAAAAATCAAATAAGAAATACACAAACAGCCAGGGCAATTTAAAACTTGAAGAATTATTTTAAAAAAAAAAGAAAAAAAAAAAGGTAGCATGGCCTTCAATACAAGATCACGTCACCCCAATACTACACAAAACCTCCATCTCATCCTTATGGAATGAGGAACAAACATGCACACACATACAGGAAAAAGAAAAAAGAAGAAAAACTTAACTTCGTCTTGTTACTGATCTTTTCATTGATTAGGCAGAATGCTATTTTCACATAATGATAATGTTGTTAGCAAACTATCCAATTTGCTATTTAGCATATATCTTCTGAGATGTTCATCCATCGTATGATTAAGCATCTGACATGATTGGTATGCTATTCAAAAGTCTGAGACAATATTATATATCATATTAACATCTCATAAAAGAAAAGGAAAACATGATAAAGCGGACCAAGTGCTGATTTATGATTGTCGATGGTCTACAATATGGGACTCCTACTCACTGATATTTTCATTTTTCAAAAATCAAATTGAAGTGTTGAAACCTAAAACTGATAAAATACTACTGAAATGACATGATCTGTGCCTTTTGACATTGTTTCATGTCCAATATGTAGCCACTTCATACAACTAAGTTCAATATGATATGGTTAATAATTTGAAAGTATCTAACCTTGCAATTCGCTTTTTGGAATCACCAGTCCGCAGGGTTCCACTAGATATGGCGAGAGGCTTAGTGTCAACAATTCCATTATCAGATTGGGGTACAGGCATTAGAGCCATAGGGTTATCGTCCTGTTTAGGGGTCAACTGAGCCCTTTTAAGTGCAATTTTGGCCCTCTGCCTTGAGCCCCATATGGCTGTTGCATTTATGTTTCTCCATTTATCCTGTTCAAGAAACTACAGACTTAGCATACCACAAAATATGGCACTATTGACACAAAATTAAGCATAAATTGAAGCTCATCTATACAAAGAATCTATGGTTGTTTAACCCCAATAAAAAAGATTTTTCTTTTTCAATAAATAACAAGAAACCCTGCCTCAGGATGGATTACATACCTTGAGATCCACATTTGAGCGCAAACGAAGTACATCACTAAACTCAGGATCTGAAAGAATTGTGCGCCATTTCCCAGTCCCATGCTTTTGGACTCCAGCTTTGAGGGCTGCTTCTTCTTCCGCTGTCCACTTCTGCTTAGGAGCACCCATCAACAGAAGTTTTGAACCTGACTAAAAGAAAATGTAAACAGTCGAATTATGCCCCTCCACCAGAACATTCACTAATATGTACTACTTAGCCAGATTTAATATGCAAGTCTATGTCTTGACCAGATGATTACACCCAAGAAGAAGCATTGTAATTAAGCAACCATCACCCTAAAATACAAATGAAAACCTTTGAATCCAGTCAAAAGCATTAAATGATTAGACATTCAGTGGCATATTTCAAACATTAAAGATACAGGATTATATTTCAGTTAAACTGATATGATCCTTTACTTCAAAATTATGGGTGAATTCAGAAAGTCCTTGAATTCTGCACATCTGATACAGTCCAATTAAAGACCTGATTCGGAGACTAACAATTTGAGCTCCATAGCGGGCTGTGCCTTACAGCAATAAAATTTTATGAATTCAACAACCTTTTAAGTATCAAAAGCCTCAAAATTATGCATAAACATAGACTCAATCCAATTCAAAAATCCATCACCATAGACAACTACAACTACATAATTCCAATTAGAACTTCAAATTTTATGAAATACATTCAAATCAGCTCTAAATTCACAAAAATTTGCCATTTTAATTCATAGATCCTCACTTCTTCTCCACTGCCAATTCAAATCAGAAACAATACATGGCAATGCAACAAAAGTCAAGAGCAAAGCGAACGGGAAAACAGAAAAGTTGACGCATTTGTTGACAAGTTCATCGCCAATCAAACCGAGCAAAGATCTTCGCATAAGAACATGGAATCATCTCAAAAATCAAAAGCAAACAACCAAATTATGCATAAATTTGGGGGAAAAATGCAGAAATTAGCGATGTAAATGGAGAGAAGATGGAGAGGCAGATGGGACTACCTGGTCTGAAAAACCACTGTGAAGTAAACAATTTACCGGCAGATCATCGGATTATCAGAGAAGAAATTGTTTCAGGAATAATAACTATTCAAGAGTGGAAGCTCATACGCCCAGACACTTGATTTCGGTCCAAAGAACGGGTAATCCATTTTTTCCAATTTATTACGTATTATTATACAAAACTGAAAAGTCCTTGCTACTTTTGGAAATAGCTTTCACCCCCCCCTAAACTTAGGGGCTGCGTGGTTACCATTTAACTTTTCCTTCTAAACTTTTTTTCCTTATAAAATTATTTTTATATTTTTATACATTAATATTATAAAAAAATTAAAATAAAAATAATATTTTTTACTTTTATTTTCTTAATATAAATTTATAATAAAAAATATATATTTAAATAAGCTTACTAAATTAATTAACAAAAAAAAAACTAAAAAAATATAATTTTATAATAATTTTTCTTTTAATTTTTCTAATCGATAAAATGAATAAACATTAATATTAAAAAGTTAATTATTTTTAGTAT